AGAAAGAAAATAGTTCCTACATGAAACTGCCCACAACAAGGTCTGTGCATTATCTTGAGTAACGGCGTCATGATTTCTGGTAAGAGACTTTGCTGTTCAGTTTTGCAAATGTGTTTTTTGGAGCTTTAAGCACCACAAGTTGAGTCCAATCTAGTTCCATTATATTGGAGAGAAGGCAGATATCTCTACGGCTGATATCTCCAACACTCACCAACTCACTCCAGAACAATCCAGATTGATTAATAGCACTACAGATAAGCGGAAATATAACTGTAATTGATTTTTGGATGACCTTTCCCTTTAAGATTCATCTTCATTCTTGACTTCATACTGGTCCATTGAGAGATTTCACAGTATAAATTAAAGTATTGACCTAGTGGTAGATGATAATTAAGGGCTCAAGAAAGTTATTAGGATTCATCATCTGGGGACCATGAATGTCTGTACATGGCAATCCATCCAATAATTGGTGGACCAACCAAAGGACTGACCAACACTGCCATCCCTGCAGCCATGCGGCTAACATGACTAAAAAAATTGCCAATGTTTGAGTCACACCTGCTTTATTTTGAGGAGGAAGAAGCTTTACTCAGCACAGCCCTCATAATTCCTAAGTCATTATTAGTCTATTATCTTTCAGTATTTGGATGATTAAAACTGCTGCTCTTTTCTGTTTTAATAGGCAGTCAATGAATCTGGGCACAATGCCTTTGTTACTGCAGAAGCTGTGAAAAGGCACTGCAAACTGTAAAGCCTAAATAGTCCATAAATGCTGGTTGCCATACTTTACAGCACACCTGTATTATCCTTGCCTTTTATTTTACTGCCCCTAACCTTGATAACAGCGTGGATTTAACTCTCAAGTGAGCCAAGAGAGAACATTTAAATTAGAATTAAGAAGTGTAAAATCCTTTGCAGCCCTCTTGTAATTGAAAATGACAAAGATAAGATCTGCGTTTGTAAGTGAAAGTCATGAAATTAAAAAAGTCTGCCCTGTCCATATTAGCTAGACTTTGAAGAACAATGTTTCCATGAGAACTGCTTCACTTTACAAGTCATACCGTGAACTGAGGTCAAGCAATATTTAATGAAAACAGATACGCTGCATGCTTGAGAGATAAATGCACTACCAGTAAACCCACACAGTGCACATTGCTTTCAATCTGTCACCAGCCTGCTGGAGCATCACAGGGTTCACATGATTTTATAGAGCCGGGTGAAATAATGTGAGGCCTTGCAGTGTAGTTTCCATTAGCGAGTGAATTTTACGGTGAGGCCTCATGCAATATAATTAAGATTAACTGGAGAAGACATCCAGCTGCAGCTGGTGAGAAAAAAAATAAACTTTTCCATGCATTTAAAGAATCTAATTTGTCTTGTGAGATTGTCTTCTAAAAATAGTACTATTTGCTTGATCTCTAGAGTTGAACAAACTCTTCGTGATCTTGGAGGCTGCAGCCGACATAATTATGTACCAAAAAATGGTACACAAAAAATGAACATGCAAACAAACTCTTTATAAACTGTGATCCAAACATATGTACCTCAGTTTGAGAATGAAAAAGATCTTCAGCATCTTATGTTTGTATTTATTCCCTTTCATATTTGTAGGTTGTGTCTACATCTCTAGTGTTGTTTGTGCCTAAATCTAACCAGACCTCAACCACAGCGCTGTCACATCATAAAACTGCGAGACAAGACTATTTCCAAGCAGCTTGCAAGTTTCACAAATCTAGGGCAACCATCTAGCCATGACCATGTTTATAGCCGAGCTGGGCCTTTTATTAACCCTTTTATAGGCTTATGACTCATACTGAATCTGCTGTGCTGCCAGTCTTTGTTCAAATCATTGCAAATGTTTCTTAGAAAGAAAAGTGTTGCACTTGCGTTTAAAAAAAAAAGATCAAAATCAATACAGCAGAATCAGAGATATCAAAATTTATAAAACACACATTGTTCTTCCTTGTCCAAACCTGGTGCCTATATTACCCACAATGCAATAAAAGCACCAACAGTCCAGTCAGAAATTTGCGTGTTATGCTCGTAGTGGTTATGTAGCCTTGAGTTGCTAGCGACAACAAGAGATGAGGAGTGGGCTTAAGAGGTCTGGTAAGTTCACCTCCTCCTAACTCCATATCTTCAGCCTAGGGCTGCACGGTATATGCGGTAGACGGTAGAAATGATATAAATTTGGCCCACGGTAGAGATTTGCGCTCTACCGTCCTATCGTCGATGACGTCATCGCACCTGCCTCAGTGTGAAAATGGCTGCGAGCACAGAGACAGCGGAGCAAGAGGAGCTGGTTCACGTCCGTGATTTAGCGTAGCACGTGCAACATGTGTTGCTGGAAAACTTGTGAGTGAGTGAGTTAATGTTTTATGAACAGCCCCGGACTTCTCAGACTCTTTTAGCGACTTACCGCTCAGAGGGAACTCATTCAGTGTCTCCTCTGGCAGCAGCACAGCGTCTCTCCCTCTCCTCTCTCGCCTTGTGCACACGGGAGTTGGTTTTCGGCAAGAGAGTTTGTCATAAACCTTTGGTAATGTAAACCTATGTGACGCTAGGGGCTCCACAAAAAACTCCATATGTGAATGTGTGATAGTTGTGGTGTCATAACAGCCTGTCACAGGTTACAGCGTGATGATTAGAGGAGAAATGGCAGAGCATAAAGGTCCAGGTGGAAAAAACACAACTCAGTCATTTAGGATTTTGCTAAAAGAAGGAAATTACCTTTTGATATAGATCCCAGGGGACATTTTGCACCATAGAGTACTGGGTTTTAATTTTGAGTTTTGAGATCTGCATTCTGCACAATAAATGCTTTAAAAAATACATTATATCTTTGCTTTTGTTGTTGTTGTTTTTTTTTATCAATTTAGCTTTGCTAAGGGACTACAAAACCCATTCAGAAACACTTCTATTATAACTTTTACACTTAAATTTATACCGCTATATATACCGTTACCGTGAAGGGATTTGATTTATACCGTGATATGAATTTTAGGTCATACCGCCCAGCCCTACTTCAGCCCTGACCAAAGCTGACTCAAGTGACATCACTCAAGGCAATTTAGCAGATCTAACACAGCTCCCTCTGAAACCACAAAGTTCTTCCCACAACTTTTTCACATGCTCCTGTATTAGGTTAAAGCAGCTCCTGATTTCGGCCTGGCACTTGATTCAAATCAGCTTGTTGTCTTCAGTGAAATATCTTATTCCTGTTATTTCAGAGACTTTACACTTTGTATGTCACTGCAACCTCGTACCCAGTGAAGATGTTACTTTAAATCTCAGGCTGCAATTAAAGCCCAAACCACACTGAATAAAATCCCCTCTCTATTGTGACACGTTATGCCACAACTGAGACTATAATGATCTGATATTTTATTGATCCCTGCAGGGAAATTCTCTTTCTGCTCTCGCCTCGCAGAAAAGGTCAGAGCACAAACGCCACATAGCCTACTGAACAGCAAGCAACAAGCTTGAAGATATTCACCGACTTGCTCAGAGGCTCTTCAGCAGGGCAGAGATGCATGACAACATAAGGAAATAAACCCTGGACCTCCGGCTGAAGAAGCGCCTCACCGGTCACAATGCCACCCTGCTGCCCCTAGCATGATTATTGGATTTTACATTAACTTGACACTGGAGCCTGTGAGAATTTAGGTCCATCAGTAAAAAAAAAAAAACAGTCTAAAAATAAATATAAAGGCAATAAAAATAAAGAAACAGGGCTTTCAGCAGTCTCATAGGCTGTAGAAACTGTGAAAATTGCCATGATGCCGGTGCATAGAAAAGATAATGTGCAATCCAAACAATTGTGGATGGATTACTGAGCGAGCCTGCTGGGCACAGGGGCCCCAAAGTGTCGGGGGGCTCCTTGGCTTTCACTTGCAGAATGTCACTCAAATGAACACGTACTGACCAGGAAGAGACTCAAAATGACCACAAAGAGATGCAAAGGAACCCACACAACTACAAAAAGACACAAAACAGCCTCAAGTAAACACAAAATTACCCCAAAGACACACGTAAAAGATGCACAATGACTACAAAGAGCCACAAAACCACTGCAAAGTCTGTGTCTTGCTCCTATGCAGGAGAGGAGGTGGGGCCCTTTCATTTCTGTGCCCAGGGGCCAAATGTCTCATAATCCACCCATGCAAACAATATGAAAAAAAAAAAAAAACACCATCCACTGTCCAGCCAAAGAAAGGAAAGCACTGCATTTTTTGGCCAATTTTTTTTTTAAAATGCCACAATGCAAACAGGTGCCATTTTCGAGCGGCAAAATAATCTCTCCAATGTGCAACAATAAACCTTTTATGCTACAGAAATGTCACTACCCCCAAGGCATGCTGATGCCATCCTGTCAACACAGACTGCCCCACATACCTCATATCCAATTTAACAATCAAATGAGCCATGAGAACAGCCTGCTATTATTAGCAACACTCTGAACTCCCAGGTATTATTCTTTTCTATAACTTCTACTGGTTTAACCTTGTCCAGGCTATCTGGAATAAAGAATAGAGTACAGTGTCCTGCATCAGATTCTGTGAGTTGTAAGTTCTTTTTTTAAATGCATGCTCACATCCTGAATTTTAATTGCTGTTGCCAAAAATAGTATCATCCCCATATTTAGAGCGTCACACATACAGTAGTTGGAAGCAGAAACAGGTGCCCACAGGTCTGTCTGCAGGTCACTAACAGTTCACCTCTCCACATTTGATTTTTCTGTTTAGGCTATTTGACCCCTGCAGCGTCACACTATCTGACAGGTCACACCAGACAGACTGAATCACAGACAAATATAAGGACACACCGGGCTGCACAGGTCTCTTTGACACGCAGTGGTCCGTTTGAGACCGTCGCACATTCCTACAGATTACCTCCATCCATGCAGCAGCAGGCGGCTGTGCGCGCCAACATCCAGCAGCCAGCACGAGACGCGGGTGTCTACCTGTTAGCACGAGACCATGCCTGTGGTGTCCCCTTACCTTTGCCTCTCGTCTCCTTTGACATAGTGTCCTCTCCCGTGTGTCTCCGTGTCTGCTGTAAAGCCGTCACGTTATTCTGCGCGGCAACGTGTCGTCGGATAGTTAATTAAACAGCGGCTCTTCCACCCTCCCTCTCCAGCCTGCTGCACCTTGACGCCTGCCAGACTGAAGCAGGCACGGGAAGCTACAGCTGCCGTGTCGGTCTCCTCTCACTGTGTGGAGAGAGAGAGAGAGAGAGCGGGAGAGAGAGAGAGAGAGAGAGGGGGGGGCAAAAAAAACATAAAATAAAAAATCTGCAGCTGTGTTCTCATTCACCTGTGTCAGGTCCCCTCAGAGCACCGACCCGCCCATGCCGCATACATACTTTGGGTATTTGTTGTGTCTGTGCAGACTTGGCTCACATGTCATGCCCACCCAGCTCTCTCTCTGCTCTCTCTCCTCTCCGCCGCTAACATCAGCCAGAGATCCTCCGAACAAGACTTGGTCTGCAGCTCGACTGCCTCCAGCGGTGCGCGCACGTCCGCGGCTGAGGCTGCTGAAGGGCGTCCGTCCTCTCCTCCGTCACCGTTATGCGAGTTTCCAAAATGCCCAAGAAGAAGTATCCCATGAAGGAAAAGCAAAAAAAATAGCTCCTCCGCTGACTTCATGCATCAAAACCACAGCAAAAGCTTTAATGTGGAAGCTGTTGTCATCGGCACGACTCATTTATTTAGCCTAAATCCATCGGATCTGTCACAGCAGTATGAGTCATGCAGAGAAATATTACAGAATATTAAATATAAAGTGAGTAAAAGTCATTGGAATGTGGCACAAGTAGCCCATGCTGTATGTCCTCCCAAGGGTGTGGCTGTTATGTGTACTGAGCCAATTAAAAGAAGATGGGGTGTGAAGATGACAAGCAGAAGGACAGTACATCCCATCTGTGCAGGAATATTACAGGAATAACACAGAACATCAAATATAGAGGAGGCTTAAATTATTTTGAGAGTCACATAAAGCTTTTAAGCCATTGTGTATTTCCAAAGGCGACGGTTTCGTTCCAACATTGGAGGGGACACGTGAAGTAGTAATAATTTTCTGCATTCTGGTGACTTTAATGTGCTGCTTTGTGCATTTTCTGCATCAATTTATGGTGCAAATGCTTTTAATTTTGTCAGAATAAAAGACATTGTGTGTGTAATGTGTTCTAACTATTGAAGAGGGCATGTCCCCCGTGTCCCCCCCGAAATCTATGCCTGTCTTCCCCTCTTTGAGGTGGAGGATGAAGAGAAGGTGAAGTTTAAGGATGAAGAGCAGAAGCAACATCAGTGTAGGAATATTACAGGAATAACACAGAATATTAAATATAGAGAGTGCCACATCAAGCTTTTATGCCATTGTATATTTCCAAAAGGGAAGGATCGTTACGCCATTGGAGGGGATACATTTGAAGTAGAGGGTTTCGGGGTCCTCTGACTGAATATTTTGAGCGCCAGATACTTAATTTCCTGCATGCTGGTGAATTTGTATGCACTGCTTTGTGCATTCAATATCAATTTCTAGTGCAAATGTATGTAATTTGTCAAAATAAAGTCCTCTGTGTGTGTCTGTGTGTGTGTGTGCTGCATCTAAATTTGCTCTAAATATTGTCCCCGTGCCCCCCTGAATTCTACACCTATGTATCTTCCCCTCTGTGAGGTGTGCCTGCACATACCTAAAAGAGGATGAAGAGAAGGTGAGGTTTAAGGATGAAAAGCAGAAGGACACTAATTCACTGCAAACTATGATGAAGGGGGATTGAGAACCAACACCCCGGTCAGCCATCCATCACTGCAGCAGCAGGTGCCACCCAGGTCACGTATGGGCAGCCACCCGGGCAGGAGAGAAACTCAAGAAGTGCCTCAAAACAAAACCAAACCTATCAAAATAAAATGCACTAAGTCTGATTTCTTTTCTCCTCTTTTTGCTCTCTAGGGATAAAAAAGTAATGAAGCATATGAATCATGTTCCCTCAGCTTTAAATCCTTTAAATCCAGTTGTGAGATCTGGTCTAATCTGACGGATGCTTTACCTAATGGGTGCCTCTAATTCATTTTAAGCTGATCTTGACCTGCACTACTGTAATACTTGACCTGAATTGCTGCAAAAAAGGTTTTCTCACAGAGCGCTGATGGCTCACGTCACACTATGTAGTGGGTGAAGCTGTTATGATGTAACACCTGCTGCATTCATCCCTCCTCCGACCACACACAAGGTCACACAGAAGAATGGTCTGGTGGCGGTGTTATTTGGCAGCCACGTCCACACAAATGCATATTGATAGAGGAAAACGCCTGTGGCCAAACCACCGCCCTGGAATCTGAGAGCCACACACACCACATTACCAAACTCTACTAGGATACATACATGCAGCCAGTTTATCATGAAAGCCAATGGCAATAGGCAATACATTTCTGGCCCTGAACACTTAGCTGAGATCGCACCAAGAAAAAGTAATAGGAAAAAGCCTCAAGGCCAGGAAGCCAGCAAGACAGATAGCACTGATTACACCAAATGGCTGCACTGACGGGATTCAAGTGAAAAAACTAAAAGGCTGATTGAATTAAGTGAATTTCTTTTGTAAGAAGAATTCCCTCCACGCCATTGAGGACATAACTTGAATTCTACATGGCATCCGCATCAACCGACATCAAAGAGGGAAAGAATACTAAAAAATACATTTAAATAATCCGGGTAATTGATGATTCAGTGCAAACTTCCAGGCAGCTGTAATTAATTGCAGCATTAGACTTTGACAAAACAAAGTGCAGGCACACAGTAAGGTGTTTATGGAGGTAGATAACCACCGCAGGGCTTTTTGGAAAATAAAGATCTGTTTCAGCAATGTAAGGTTTTGTGGGAGCCATTAAAGAGTCCCAAAATACAATGCTTGGCAGTCAGCAAACCTGAGTTTAGCACTTGAGGTGAAGATTTGTTGTTCTTTCCTGCTTGAGAAAAAGACTCAGCAACTTTGTGGGCGTCGAAAGAAAAACTATGATTTCAGCACTTTAAAAATATGATGATTTATACTAAAATATTCTTGAGCCTCTGGGTAACAGTGACTCTTAGACAAGGTGGGGTAGTAGACAGCACTTCACATTCACAGATTGTTGAGTGAAACCTGTGCTGAGACACACCATATATTACCGCTCCTAGTGTTTAAGAAATTTGGCTGTTGCGACCTTTTTGTCCTCCCTATCAAACTATAAACCTTTTTAAAGACCATAAGAAGTTATGTTGGTTTGCTGGTATGAATATGATTGTGAGGAAATGCTCAATGTACGAAATGAGGCATCCTTAGCCTTAGCACATTGTCTCATTTGCCCTGCACTTCACATTTGCACTTATGACATCTGAACATCTGGCTCTTTTTCACAAATATTTCTTAAACTTTAAATTGACTTTTCACCCTTTATATTTCTTCTTCCTTATCCTTTGCACTCGTCTTTGGCAGGGCATCAGAAGTATGCCTCTGCACATATTATTTATGTCACAAATACTCCTTTGAATTCTTTAACATAAAGCTGCATAGTCCAATTTTAAACATTTGTTTATAATGTACATATAAAGTAAATAAGGACGTTTACTCTTGTACTTGAGATACTTGCACTTGACTTAAGTATTTATGTTTTATGCTACTTTATACTCGGGAAATATTGACTCCACTATATGTTATTTATTTCACAGCCTCAGTTACTGGTTACTTTCAGGTCAAGCTTTGCTGTACAAAAAATGCAGCTTCAAAAATGTGATGCACTGTTATTTATATCCATCCATCCATCCATCCATTTTCTAACCGCTTATCCTCTTGAGTTGCAGGGGGGCTGAAGCCTATCCCAGCTGACATTGGGCGAGAGGCAGGGTACACCCTGGACAGGTCACCAGACTATCGCAGGGCTGACACATAGAGACAGACAACCACTCACACTCACATTCACACCTATGGACAGTTTAGAGTCACCAATTAACCTGCATGTCTTTGGACTGTGGGAGGAAGCTGGAGTACCCAGAGAAAACCCACGCTGACACGGAACATGCAACATGCAAACACATGCAAACTCTGCACAGAAGGGCTCCCACACCTGGGATCGAACCAGGAACCCTCTTTTTTTTTGTGAGGCAACAGTGCTAACCACCACACCACCATGCCGTTATTTATATACAAAGTTATATACAAAGTTCAAATTAGATATACCCAACCAGCTGCTGACATGTTAATGCATCAATAATAACAATATATGAAACACCCTGAAAGTGCAGACAAGTCTTCTGATTCTTTCATAATTTATTCTGCTCATCTTTACCTAAATACCTTTTTTTAACATTTAAATGCACTTACAATTGAGTGTTTTTATGTTGTGGTTCGCTACTTGCACTGACGGATACAAGTCTTTTATTCAAATGTTATGTTTTATTAAACGTCCTTTTTAGTTTCTTTTAGATATGATGATTAAGCAGTGCATGGCTGATCATTGTGCATCAATCACTAACCATTAGAAAAACAACAGAGCTTTACTTGTAGACAGAAGCTGGCTTTGGTTTATGAGCCCACTGTTAACTGTAATGATTGCTGAAAAGCAGAAAGTTGAACAAGTTGATGAGTGATGTGCTCGTGGGAAAAAAAGGTCACGCTTCTGCTCCTCCTGCTGATGTGTTATTCTCTGTGTCAGAGTCTATTCTCCACTGTATCTTACACTGTAGGATAAAAATAATAAAAAAAATTCTACATAACTCTATTGTATCCACTCTGCTTCAGACTCACATCTGCTTCAAAGGTGACAGATAATCTTTTCAGTCTCACAACTCATCAGTGTGATTTCAGCTGGTTATCTGCAGGGACTCTGCGTTGTTGCTTGTGTCATAACTGGCTGCTGGATCTGGGAATGCTAATTATCCCCCAAAAGTAAAGCTGTGACTGAAGTAATGATGCAAATAGTCAAAAGCTGCGCAGCAGTAGCAGGTGTTTCATGAGATCTGAGACTGTTGATGAGGCCTCGTAATAATTTGAGAGAAAGGAACTTTGACAGAGTAAAATGCAAACAATGCCACAATTTGCTCAGTGAAGGCAAAACAGAGGACAGCAAAGATGAGTAATAAGATTTCATATCCATCTAGCATCAGCTGAGAATGTTGCATAAGCTACCCAGATGTCACAAAGCAGCCTTGATCTACCTGCATGGCACAGTGCCCCTTCTCAATGCATCATGAATATATTGCAGCCAACTGTGTCCTCACCAACTCTGAAATTAGCTCTGATGATGAGTCAGTGCTGGCCAACGGCAAGGTCAAACCTCTCTGACCATTTGAAATTATAATAATATGCAAACCAGGGCTAACTGTGAGCTATGCGCAGTAACATCTGTTTGTGAATGTTCATACTTATGTGACAGATGTTCGCTGTACATAAAGATATGTAAAAGTAAATAAAGTAGGAGGCTGATTATCTGGCTTGCTGACAACTCAGTCTCACAGTGGAATGCTAAGCAGTGCCCGCTGAGGCAGCAGAAATGAAAATATATTATCTTTTAAATGTCTCCCCGGCAGAAATGTTTGAAATTTCCGAACCATAACCGTGAAAAATAATTTGAAATGAGCTCTTAAAAATGAACAGAATCATTTCATGTGCTTAACATTTCCCATTTGCCAATGTCAGAACAACCTCAGTTCTGCACGTCAGTGTAAAGACAGCAACACTCCCCTCGCTTTGAGCCATCTCCATTTGTCCTGGATCGAAATGAAGAAACCGAGCTCGAGCCTGTGAAAGCCTGCACGTATTCAGACGCCCACACAGAAGACAGCCTGGGAGAAAATAGAGGCAGTTGATTCAATGTGAGCTAATTCATTCAGTCACTGTATGTCCCCTGTCAAGGCTGGTCCCCACAGGCCAATGCAACATCTGGATGTGTCCCCTCTGCTCTGTCTGCACAGCTTTCATGTTGCCCTCAAGGGATTCAGACATTTTCTCAGTCTGCCAAGTCTGTCTTGTTTATTTTGCATTCAGAATTGACACTTTTTACCATTATTATCCAAGATTCAAGTTGGTCGGTAGCAACACTATGTGCACTTTGTTGTGCTCTGTGGAAAAAAAAAAAAAAAAGAAGAAATAATTATACCCCTAAAAAGAATGTCCACGTCACCCTCTCTTCTACTGTACTTGATCTCTTCACAGTGGTCATAACCTCTTGAGATAACACATTCACCAGTGAGGGGAAATAAAGCCTTTGCTGCATTTAGACCCTTTATTTACACATTATATGCAAAAGAGGAAATCAAGTCACAACAGATTAAACACATGATGCCCTGAGCTTCCAATGTTATTTTGGTGGAGACCATATGCAATTAATTTATTTCCATATTCCAACGAGAGAATAGAAAGTGTGAGTAATCCTCAGGGAGATTTAAACCAAGTGCAAAGGGAGGGTGGTAATCTTATAATCCTCTGTAATGTCGTAATGGTCTCTCCAAGCTTATCTAAACTAAACTAACTTTCCCAGCAGAATTCAATCACAGATACAGATGGACCGTAAAGAGTAATGTGACTAATGCTCCCTGTGCAATTCAACACTCTCATCTGCTGCAGCTCCATTAAAAAAATATCTGCAATCCCAATTAAATATAGATCTTTGTAAATAAACAACATGAGTACAGACATGTAAGAGTTTCATTCCAAAATGAAACCCATGCTTTGTGCTTAAAGTCTGTAGATGCAGATTTTCTGCTAAAATAAATACACAATATTTAGAGCGAACTGTCCATGATGCTGTAACACCCTATTGGCTGACCAAAGCTGCAGCTGAAGCAGGAGGCGACTGGACTGGCTGAAGAAACTCTGAGGTGAAGACGGCCTCGGCGTACTCCTCCACAACATCCTGAAACTCTGCTGCCACGTCAGCCAGGGCCTCTGACAGCAAATCATCTGCCAGGCTGTGGGACGAGAGAGAACGGACATTAATATCCTTAAAACCAAGTTGCAAAGACATGAGAGTCAGTCTCTTTTGAAAGTTAGAAAGTCATCAGTAAACTTTAATCTGATAGAAAAGTCAGAATCTAACATCTGACAACTCACATTCGGCATCACAATAAATGAAAATGATATGTCAATGAAATTCATGTGACCACTGTAAGGGTTTCATAGAGGTCAAAAGAATGTAGTTAAACTATTCCCAAATATTCTTTATTGTTCCTGCCATAAATTTGAGTAGACCTTTTAAGATTGCTGAGTAAAAGTCAAGGGACTTAGACAAAATAATATATGTACATCACTTAAAAAAGGGGCGAGTAAGCTGACGTCCTAAGATTTCAAAGAAAATGTAAAACATCAGCCTCGTTTCATTATCTTCCAAAATGCAGGAGGTGTGATCAAAGCAGGTTTTTTCCCTAACCAGTGTGTCTACTAACATTCACAGCTGGACATGAAAAAACTCCTCGCCTTGAAAGACGTAAAATGAAGGAAAATAACTCAAAAGACTGGTGCAGCACCAGGCTAGATTCCAGTGTTCTGATCATTATCTGGGTCATCACACACACGCACGCACATGCACACACACAGGGATAAGTGCAAGTGGTGTACACTCTTGGATCTCCCTTCCAGCGCCCCAAATACGTCAAATCATTAGATTGTCAGTGCAACAAAACAATCAGAGTAATTGTGTGTTGTTGATCTACCTGTACCTTTGAAGAGTCAATGCATGAATACTTTGCTCTCAATACTGAATACAGACTGAAAATTGGATGGGAGCAGCCATTAGGAGATATTTCTAACACTAAAATGCTAAAAGACATGCTCGCCTTACTGAATGACTCTTTATATTCTGTATGTTAACCAATCCAAATACGATGAAATCCCACCACAAATGAAAATGAGCCCTAAGTTAATATGCACTAGTAATTGTACAGAACAAGACTCACGTTAATGGATGAAAAAATATGAAACTGTCTTGCAATGTATTTCAATAATCATCGGTCCAACAATATGAAAATGTATTTGAGAATTCAGACGAAGCTTTCAGTAGCTTGAAATATGTGTGTTTCCTGTGTTTTGTATTTGCTAAAGTTTTGCTATTTTGCAATCAGTGTGTTAGCAGACAGAGTGAAAGGGGGGAGGAGAGGGGTGTTAGGCGCCACTAGGCGGCTCATTACCATCTCATCATGCAGACAGGTTTCTGCACTGTGTCAGAATAGCAGGGGGTGTAGATGTCTATATGGATGTGTTCTCTTTTGAGAAACATTGAGGTAATTGGATGGCTTCTCCCAACACAATATCCTTATTTTAACTCCAAATTCAGAAAAGCACAGTTCCATCTCTTGAAAACTTGGGTCCATTGATGTGGGACTGGTAACGAGCCACTGGCACAAGCAGCCAGATCCCACGGGTGGGACTGGGCAACAGTTTTTCAACTCTGAATTTATGAGGAAAAAAAACAACTTACTGAGCTGTACACAAGACCACACATCTCTGTGACACAGAGGGAAAAAAAAGATTAAAAAAAAAATGTATGTTTTAGAAGTTTAGAGCTGATATATCAAACAAAACATGGACTCAGTACATCTGCAAAGATCAGACGCAGTCTTCTGCACTCTGCATTGCAGCAGCTTAAAAATTCTGTTAAGTATGCAAATGTGTGAGTGGGAGCGAAGAACAACAGCAAACACCAGGGACACACTATGCAAACCATGAAGTGCATGATCCTTTCAGAGCGAGCCCTTCAGAGTCCACATTGCGTCTGTCAAACATGTCCAGGGACAAAACAGAGAGCAGGAAGGACAAATCTTGTTCCTATGTGGCTCTGGTGACAAAAACTGAGCATGTGATACTGCTAAAATGTAGTAGAGATATTTGTATAAAACCTCAAAGACACAAAAAGATTGCTGAATTAGTTATAGACAGTTTAACCACAGATTCTGACACCCAGAGGGGATCTAGAAACCTTCACTGTTAGTATTTTACCCATCTGCGATGGCCCAGGGGTTGAAGCTGCCGACAGCCTCATGAGCCACAACACGCAGGTAGGCCTCGTAGTCTTCGCAGTACCGCCGGATGTTTCTCAGCATGCTGCCTGGTACAGAGATAACAGTCCTCTTGCTCCTCTCCACTGGGCCTGGGAACACGGTGCTGTGTCTGGGCTGCGCTTCATCTTGGGATGCCTCCTCTGTCAGGCTGTTCTCAGAGAGGACGCTGTGTCTGAGGAAACACAAGAGGATGCTCATGAGGCAAGGCATACAGGTGGATTTTCCTTGACACCTTTTTATTACCTTGAGCATTCTCACCGTATGAGCTGGGTGAAGGGCTTGTGAGGGCTGTGGAGAGGAGGCGAACTCATTTATTGACGAGGGTGTCAGAATAGAGTGCGGCGCTGTGATTGACCAGAAACACTTGCTGTTATAAGGCTGAGAATGATGAATTTAGGAGAGGTGTCAGTGCGCAGGCCAGCTCTCCCGTCAGCTCCTTGCTCAGAGTGAGTAGGGGCTCAGCTGGGCATTGCCATGGTCTGGCTTTATAATCCTCTCTGCTTGGACAAATCAGCCTGGCTGTTGCGACGGCGCTCTCGGTGCTATATTTAGTGTTGCAGCAGTTCCCAAAGCAAAGTGCCTCTCTATTGTGCTACCCGGCCTCAGCTGAACCTGTTTCTGTTTTGACTGTGGGGACCGCAAACTGCGGGGTGGCCATAAATATCAAAGTGTCAGCACAGTCAGCTCTGCTTCCAGTCTGAAATGGGTCGATCTACTGTCTGATGGGCATCTCAGGACCAACATGCCGAAAGCAGCAATACAGTGCCCTGTAAATTCACTTCCTATTTATAGAGTCAGAACAGCACCCACGCTTTTTGTACCATATTAAAAAAACACATGAATCAGCCTGCTATTCCTGTTAACAAACACCATTCAGACAAATCTATAAGATCGACCTTGAATACATATCTATGAAAAGGGGATGTAACAATAATTATCACTGCAGTGTCACATGCAGTTGTTTGCCTCCACGAGCCAGTCGAGTTGCAGTTACCATCCATGTCTTTCCAGACTTGTATGTGCCCATGACAGTTGACAAAGCTTCAAATCTGGATACAAAAAAGCTACAAATTCTAAAACATGGATGCTTCACACACATGTTCGACCCGACAGCACAGAAGATCTATACAATCAGCACAGTTTCAAGGTGGACACCCAAGATTAGTGTCACCAAGCCGACCAAATGGCTCTCCTTCTGTTTCCGAGTCATGGTGTTGAATAATGGCCAGAAACAGGTTATTGCAAAATATGATGATGTCACAGAGAAGTTGACCTTTGACCTTTTAGATATAAAATGTCTTCACTTCATCATTTTATCCTATTAGACATTGTGTAAAATTTTGTCATAATGAATGTATAAATTCTTGAGTTCTGGCCAAAACGTGTTCAGAGGTCACAGTGACCTTGACCTTTGTGCACCAAATTCTAATAAGTAGAAATTTGTGGCAAATTGGAGAACGTTTCCTCAGGCTGTTCTTGAGACATCGTGTTCATGAAAATAAGACAGATGAGGTCACAGTGACTTTGACCTTTGACGACTAAAATCTAGTTTATCTTTGAGTACAATTGGTTGTTGTGAAGAGGAATTTGAAAACATCCCCTCAAGGTGTTCTTGCGATATCTCGTTCACAAGAGTGGGGCAGATGGATAACTCTAAAACATAATGCCTCTGACCTTAGCAATCAAAAATTACTAGCTAATGTTATGACTACGAAAGTGTTAATGGTATCTTTTCTCTTTATTCTGTCCTGTAAAGCTAAATAAGAGTGCTCAAGGACAAGAGGAAGCTGTATACCACATCTGTAGTGGACATTTCCTTAAACCTGTGTGTCCACGAGGGAGTGTGTGTTTCTGTGTGGGCTGTGTTTGACAGGGGAGCACAAATTAGATGGCTGAATCGCAAAAAAAACACGCTCTTACCATCACATCCACCCACCTACAACTTGGCCCGCACAAAACCAAAACAGATAAACATCTTTAGCTATCAGCAAGATCACCTAAAGGGACTTCTAAGTCCAATTTTAAAAAAAAAACAGCCTCAGCCATGTATTGCCTGGGAAACAGGGGACCTGGCAAAGGACAGTGCCATATGCGATACATCAAAAGGGACGCAGGCTGTGATGAAGCAGAGTTGGACAAAGACGAATGTGACTCAGAGAGAGTACAAGGCGATTCAAGCCAGATTCACAGAAGCCCTGGTGAGCTTTTGACAACAGCAGGAAGGAAACAGGTGGAAGATGAATAGTGTGGAGGAAATCTGTATAGAGTGTATATTTTCTTGCTTATTCAGTAATGCACTACTGAGAAATCTTTCATATTCCAGAAACAATCTCTTGTGTTTGACTCAAATCAGGTGGGACTGCAGTGAATGTAAGGTCACAACTGGAAGCGGAGGCAAAGCTACCAAGAAGCCATTTACTGTGCAACACAGCTTTCCGCTTGTTTGAAATATCTTGCCTGAGAGGACAACTGCGGCTGTAAACAAAGGGCCGGTGGAGTGAGAGAGCAGATAAAAAAATATACATGAAAGGTTCAGAATATTGCTGAGTGGGGCTTTCATCTTTTCATTGATTTGTTTGACCTGCTGATGCAGCTGCAGTTGGTCAGTCAACATTAGCCGAGAGGAGGGAGGAAAGTCGGGGTCTGTGTCTGGGTTCTTCACCATGGATACATAAATCTTATCTGCCGCTCTGCTGATGTTTCCAAAGATGAAATCTCTCACTCTATTGTCCCTGAGGTCGCTTGATAGCCCTCACACAAGCACAGAGACAGCCGGGGTAAAGAAGAATAGATGCTGTCTGGGAAATACTCTTTAGGAGGACAGTGCCAGTGTTATGTCTCATGATAGACGATGGAAGTGTTGAAATATTTATGTAATGTAAACAACTACTTTCCCACAAAATGGTGACGTTAACTCTCAACTCTCAACTCTCAAGAAGCCCTACTGTTGTAAGTCATGACTTATAAGTAAACACTTGTCTCAGCAGAGACTGAAAGAACAGCCTGTCATAAACAATAAAATGAAATCCGCTTTCCCAGCTGGAACTGGATGTCAAGATAACATCAGAAAGATGTTGGACTCTAATGTAAGATGGAAGGTTAAATTTTGGCTTGAATGAAAATCTAGTTGACAATATTTGAAATGTCTAACAATGTCAGAATTTCCCATTGTGTGGACATTGACATTTGCAGACAGTGGGTTTTGTTCTCAAGACCTTACAACTAAATGTTGTCACTCTATGTCAAGATGACGTTGGCATGACACATTTGGAAGAATGATTTTGGTTACTTAACAACACAACTTGAAACTAACAAAATATCAACATCATCTGTCATTAGTATTCTACCTCAAATTGATGTTGGTGCGAGACGGTGTCCTGACATTGAATTTGGGTCACCCAGTGTCACAACCTAAATATAACCAAATATCAACATCTGAGTTCCCCCATCTTTCCCCAAATCAGCTAAAAGTAATTCCATTTAATTAAATACATTCCCTCATCAGTCCTGCATGCCTTTATAACAGCACAAATCAGAAAGCAATAACCAATAACAGTCTTCCAGCATCAAACAATCCAACCAAAGCCTCAAAAGAATGTCTGTTGTCACAGTTTTTTCCTCAGTGTGTTTAAATGCGTGTGTGGTATGATGTTGCACGCATGACTGTTTTCCTGCTGACGGCAGCGACTGATGTGTCCCTCTGTGCTGAGAAATGTGAGTTATAAACAGTCAATCAGAGCTGAGACAACACACGATGTGCTCTTCACACAGTTTGCCATTCCAAAGCCCCAAAATTAAACCTCACCATTCTGCCACAATGAACACTGGAAGAGTCAACACCGACAGAGGATTTACGCAATCCCACACCAACACAAAAACAAACTGCATTTTCAGGCTATTCCCCTCCACAGGAACTGATGCAAATCTGAATACAGATTTGAAGATTTTTTCACACATTTACAAATCTGATTATGCACAGGCAGATTCTTTACACACATCTGCAAATTCCAGTACACATTCACAAATTCTTTTAACAAATCTAAAATCTGATTCTGCACACATGTATTGGGATGCAGTTACACACATTTGTAAATATTTTTGTTACAATAATGGCTCCATGCATGTGCTCCTTTAAGCTGCTCTTTTACTTTAACAGCAACATGAAAGGAGAATTATATCAGATCATCAATAATTCTCCATTCTGCTCAGAATACTTTATGCTGATTACTGCGCCAAAGTATTAATTATCTGAACTGTTGGCAGGTTTGCAAATATCTAGACTGACCTGAAGCTGGCTGCAGTTTCAAAGACCTACTGGGACTTAAGTGTTTGCCACAATAAGAGTTTTCATTATCTGGAGAGTTACTTCCGTTAATGAGGTCAGTGTGTTGACTTTGGCATCAAGCTTAGGCTGTATCATTAAATCGAGCTTGTTTTCTTGGACATTAATGCAGCTCATTTCCTCAGGCTGCAAATGGAAAAAAACAATAACAACAGTCAAATGCTGTTTCACAGTTATCTTAAGGATCACTGTGAGACTCAGAACCTATTACTTCCTGTTAAAGACCAACACATTCTGACAACATCAACAAAAACTGAATTCAACATGCAGACTGCAACAAGTTTAGCTGAGGCTGGCTCTAAAGACCTGTTCATGTCTGGGATAAACATGAGTCCTGGGTGACTGCATCACAAGTGGGCAGCTTTAAGTACCAGTGTGAATGCACCCAATGCGTTCTCAATGCATCCTGACAATCTATCACTCAGACGACAGATTCTCTCAGCAGTGTGTACACTAATGGGTCCTGGACCACACTGAAGGTTCCCCTACTCAGCTGATGTCCCCGCCCAGATAAGCAAATTGTTGCTGCCGTTACACAGGTTAGATGCAGCCCTGAAGGTCTCCAGAACCGTTCTCCTCTTGGCGAATGGTCAATTCAATGTCTGTTAACACGGCAGCAAACTAGACTGTGTCATTAAACCTGATATAACTGTCCGTTAATGTTAGCCGTGTGATGCTAACAGTTAGCCTTGTCACTGCGTGTGTAGGTGCACTCCAATAAACTGTTCCTGGTGCAGAGCTCACACTTCCTTTGAAATAGTCTCCCAATGATGATAAATTAAATGATGTGTTAATTTGCATATAGAGCCAGGAACTAAGAGACAATCACAAGTGGTTACTGGAGATAGATGTGGAGACGCATTCTAATGCCAGGTGTGAACAGACAGAGTTAATGCTGTCCACTTGTGATCCGATCACCCTGACTGCATGCTCGGTGTAACTAGGCTCCAATTGCTCATGTGGTTCGTGCTGTAATGTATTATGTGTATTTGTTTCGGTATTCCTGGTGCAACGGGCTGCAGGGTTTTGTAATAAAACCTTTTGTTTACTTCATCTCATCTGTCAAGTGTTGTGAAATGTGTCACCAGGGTCAGTTTAGAGCCTGCAACACTGCAGCACAGGTCAGTTTACAGAGCAACTTCTCGACCCCCAAAGATAGCTTGATAAAACAATGTGCCTACTAAACACAATTTCCCTTTCTATCTCACATCAAATGACTCCCTACTTCCAACTTTATTACTTCTAAAGGGAGCAAGCACTTTGGAAAAAGACTTCTTGTCTGTCTACAATAACTTTCAGCTTGTACCACACTGTAAGGTATGAAAGTACTTAGCAGCCTGCAGTTAACTACTAAACTGACTGGGTGTTTTATCTCTGTCTCATTTAGAGCAGGAAAAGGTGACGAATGTGGACAACGCATTAGAATCTATGGTAATTATTTTTCCAATGATAAAAGTACAATCCAGCAAACGACCACCATCAATAAGGAAAAGAAGCTCTGTGATGCCATGATGTGTGAGTCAGCAGACAGCAAAGCTACCCACTCTCAATGCTGCCGATTTTGCCCATCACCATCAATGATTACTAAGGAACTGTGTTTGTCAGTGCACTGACAGAAACCAATAGTCATTACTCTGACTACAGCCAAGAAATCTCAGATGCTCCAATTAAAAACATCAACCAATAGATTACCTTTAAAGAGAATACATAATGTATAGACACTTCTTGTAAAAAACAATAAACTAATGTTGTCTTGTGTTCTGTATCTGTAAGTAATTTAGGTCAATTTGCAGAGATTTGTTTTCACTTGACATCAAAGATCCTTCTTCTACTGATCAATGTCAAAAAATGCTAATTACATGGACTGTGATTCAATGTGTTAAAAAAGGAAAGATGAAAAGGTCTAGCAGGGTGCCAATGCTTTTTAAAAGGTACTGTAATTTGGACTGAGTGTAAAAGCGATGCAGGCAAGTCTGTCTCTGTTTTATGCCACAGGGATTCAGAGAGTTTCAGAACAAATGAGCTGGCAGTTCTCAAATGTGTCCCCCTGTTCAGAAGCTGCAAGGCTGGTACCTCTGAAGAAAGAACAAGTCATGATAAAACACAACACATCCTCAAAAAGACTAGACACTTCACTCAGTGGACGAGAAAAGGACTCTCCACATTATGTCTATTCATCGAAAACCAGGAATTTATAGACTTCAAGACCATATCTGATAAATACGGCCTTGCTCGGCAGGATTTCTATAGGTACCTCCAACTCCGGCTCTACTTTGATAAGAACATTAAAGGACTTATACAGGAAAATATATCAGGTATTACCAAAATGTTTATCAAAGCCTATAATACAAAACTGTCCAGAAAGATTGTCCAGAAACATTGGCAAACTATATAGACATATAGCTGAATTAAGAGGCCATTCAACAAACTATATTAAGGCGAAATGGGAAAAAGAGTTGGGAATCGTAATTACTTCTGAAGACTGGACAAATGTAATTAACACACAAATCACTACTACAGCCTCACAACTATGGAGAGATTTTTCCTGGAAAAACTATATCCGATTCTTCATAACACCAAAGCAAAAGTCTCAACAGACAGGACTACAACCCACATGCTGGAGAGGGTGTGGACACAGTATGGCAGATCATACACACATATTTTGGAGCTGTCCCACGCTTAAATCTTTCTGGGATGGAGTTCAAAGTATTATCAGTGAAGTCTTGCAGTATAATTTTAATTTCACTTGTTTATCATTCTACCTGGGCAATATGGACACAGAATTACCAAAAAAAGACAGATACCTCCTAAAAATCTTCATGGCTGCCAGCAAAAAAGCCATAACAAGAAGATGGCTCAACACAGAACCTCCCACGGTTAATCAGTGGGAGGCCATAATTAAAGACATCCAAACAATGGAAATACTGACGTTTAGTCTCAAGATTACAAAGGGACAAAGGTGATGCCCTCTGGGAAAAATGGAGCACTTATATTACAAGAAGAGGTGATAACCAACCTTAATGCTTTATATATTTTGGTATAAGAAAAACAATATTGCAACTATATTGCTGTAATGTATGTGACATACAACCTACTCGCAACCCCACGGTTCTCTTATGTTTCGTTCCTATGAGTGTTCATATGTATTTGTGCAACTGTGTATGATTGTGTATGACTATTTAGACAAATGGGTTTAAGTGAACGTGTGCACTCTTGAGATCAGGTGCACAGGCATATGTGTACATATACCTTTTGTTCTTCTCTCCTTTTTTGTTGTTTCTTTTGTGTCTATAAGGGCACCACATGGCTAGCATTTGTATTACTTAGCTGCATCATATTGTACCCATACCTACATGAAAAAATAAAGTTAAAAAAAAAAAAAAAAAAGACTAGACATTAAATAACTGACTTCCAAATGCCCATGTTGGCCAAAAAATAGGGCTATTACTTGATGGATGTGTTGCGAAGCCACTGTCTAAGATGAGTCACAGTGGATCTTGGGGCAAAGTTTCCATCGAGGGAAGTGAACCCGAGGCACTCTGCGTTCATCTGACTTTAATTTGCTAATGCTTCTGCTGCTTGAATTTGTTAGAAGCAGCATCCTGCTGGCTTGTCTGTGTCAACAATTTCTAGTTCTTCCGCTCCTTTTTCTCCTCCTTCCAAGTTCCTTATTAACTTAAGCAGAGGAGCAGCTGCAGCCAAAGCCCTGGGCAGTGGAGGGTCTCTCTGTGGAGCCTGCTGCCAGAGACAGGAATAGACTCTGCCCTGGGTGCGGTAGCCACCAAGTGAGTTTTTGTGGGATGAGTAAGGCCACCCAGTGGGAGAGTGATTACAGGGCAACAGTACGTCATGTGGAAAAAAAACCATTAACTGTCCATCGTTGGAAATACATTAACCACATTACTTTTCATCACAGTTCTAGAGGGCTAACCAAACCATTAACAAATGACTTCCTGTGGATGATGCTGCTAGTGCTTTAATTTCATAGCACATGCACAGAGAAGTCTTAAACTGCAATTTCATTTATGTTTCATTAGAAGTCCATAAAAAGTTATTTAGACTCTCCGACCAATCAAAACCCAACATTTCAATAAGTCTATTTTTTTAAACAGAAGGTTATATCATAGTGTCATTTAAGCATCAATATTGTGTTGGAGCTGAGACTACCTAAAAGGAGACTCAGACCTTTAATTTCAGCTCAAGAGATCGTGAAGGAAGTTAAATAGGTCAAACCCTGATACTGCACCCCAGTTAATATTCTGGGAGGACTCCAAAATTTCCCTACTGCCTCTTTAAGATAAATAAAACAGCAAGGAAGGGAAGCCATCAACAAAAGATGAGAAGTACAAATTCTGTGAGCGTAAAAAATGTGTAAAGGAAGTAGTAACCCACCCAGTCTCCACAGGTTTCTCTAGGACAATGTCAGCTGCAGAGGTCTGCCTCAGCACTGGCCTTGTGAGCCTAATTGGCTGAGGAGAGGCTGGCCCAGAGCCCGTGGCATGGCACTGGGGTCCTGGGAACAACAGAGAGAAAGGGGAGGGAGGGGTAGCGGTGGTGTGTGACGAGAGGGATGGGGTGGAGCAGGGGACAGACAAAAAGACAGATGAAAAACAAGCAGAGCATAGACTCAGAATGACAAGTATTCACCTCCTCTCGTCAATTGTAGCTGTGTCTCCACCTACAGGAGACACCAGTGCAATACTTTCTCTACATGCAGTTAAAGAGGATAAAGAGGAGTGCGTTTGTTTGTTGATTTTTTTTACCTGCTGTTCCTGGTCGGTCCCAGTAAAGAGGGTCTGAATAGGTGATAGAAGCAAACCGTCTCCTCACTTCCTCCTGATCTCTCTGCTCAGACACACACACACACACACACACACACGCATTTTAGAATAAAAAAAGACAGTCCACCTGCCAATAGAGACTCCATCGGTAAACAACACCAGACCAAAGCTGTCACAAGAGCTCTCTATAAATAACAGCCCGATCACTGGTGACCTTTCGGGGTCCATGCTGACCTTCTGCTGGTGGGCCTTTCTGCAGAGCAGCTCTCACCTGTATCTCCTCCATACGAAGCAGCATACTCTCCAGGGTGGGGGCCTCCAGCCTACACTGAGCAATGCCCTCCAACTGTCTGTCTGCCTCAGCCGCCCACGCCGCCCGTGCAGTGTCCTCCAGCAGATCTTCAAGGAGTGCCTCACTCAGCTGCTCAGCACTTTCTGCTGCCTGTGGAGGACAGCATTCACAAAAAAACCCATTAACAGATACAAGCATAAAATTGGGCTGAATTGTTCAGTTGTGGTTGTTTAATTGTGGCCATGAGACCAAATTCAAACTTTATCAATAGCAAGGCCAATTTTCCCCTCTCCCCCTGTGAATTATTGGCAACAGCAGTGCAGCTCACCCTCTCTGCAGCCTGCTCAGACAGCCGATTCCTCAGCGAGGAGCTGACCCTGTTCCTGGACTCACCAATCTGCTGAGGTAAACAGACAAAAACAAACTCAGTCCCACCCATCCACAGACAGCATCATTTACTTCCTCTTAGTTGACAAAAACAATATGGATACGCAAAAAGTCACATTTCATTTGACTTTTGGTAAATCCAATGCTAAACACATGCTCATTTTTTAATCTTATTTTAACAAATAAGACGTACTGATTGTTTCCCTCTTCTACAATGGAGGTAAAATCTGGCACCACCCAGGCAGAAGATAAGTCTTCCTACCTGTGCTTCATCCAGAAGGGGCTGAATTCTCTCTCTGGCCTCCTGCTCAGCCCTCTCAGCCCATCGAGTTGGCGGGACAACTTCTGACCTGTAAACCAAAACACACCCACACTATAAGCTGTCACAGAGGAAGTTCTATTAATATAAACACATTTAAATTGAATTCATAGGCCTGATTAGAATCTACACAAAACAGCATTTGTCAGACTCTGTGTTTGCCTAAATATTCACATTTATTGCGATTAAACAAGGTCAAAACTATAAACTCATCAGCACTCTGCATGGAGGCAAACCTTGTAAACACCGTAGTGTGTTTATCGTGGAGGCCAATTAATTTACTCGCAGAGCCCGACACACTACTCACAACGGCTCCATCTGAGGTCAGTTCAGTGCATATTAACTGGAAGGAGATTATTGACGAATGTGACATGAGCATTATATACAAGAAATAATCTGTACTTGTGTAGTTGTCCACTGTACATTACTTATCGCCTGTGGAGCAGGCGGAGCAACCGACTCCTGGCTCATCACTCAATAACATATGATTACTCTCTGAATTCAGCCCCATGCCATAAAGTTTATTGAACTATTCTTTACTCCTTAAAAAGTTCAGTCCCATTACAGATGTATTATGCAATCTATACTGATGTGTTTTGATGGGTTTGGTCTCTTGCTATTATTTACAGTATTTTTTTATCAATATTTGGGGCATAGTTTATTGTTTTGAGTTCATGGATTAATTGTAGTTGTGGCAGGTTGAACAGTCATCATTAGAATAGGCCCATTTGTCACAGCAGACATTTCACCACATCAGCAAGAAATGCCGAGGTGGAACGAAGATGTTGCACTTCCATTCAAGTGTCCCAAATACCCACTATGCAAAAAATCAGTGACGCCCTCGCACTTGCCAAGTTCAGGCCTATTGCTTGTGTCGGTGTGTGCGAGGAAACAGAAGCATGAAGGTCAAACATTAATGCAACTAAAGCTTCATGGACCAAATGTTAACTACCACCCATGCACTGCTCACGGCACACTGTGTTTTGCCGCTGGCCTTGTAGAATTAAACCATCCAGTGCTGATTGGATGTTGCTGCAATTCTGACCTGCATTATTTTCTGTTCTTTGGTTCGTAGGTAATTATTTCCATCCTGTAATTCCCAATGTTACTGTTTATTTAATAATGAGGCCTGGTACATTGAGCTCTGTGTGGCAGGTTAATATTTGGATTACTGTCTCGATTTATGTGTTTTTTTTAAGTGGCATTACTGGTGGGAAATGTTTCTTATTAAGTAATCTAACAGACAAATGTTTATGCAGGATATAGAACACGTCTAAGCATATATCATTATTATTATAAACAGTGTACTGTGTATTGTATGGTGACTGATAAAGCTCTACCCCTCTTGTGCCAATATTACTATGATCCTGTCCATATCAAAGAGGCACTGTGGAGTTTTCTTATGAATTTCTTATGTTGCAATTTGGGTACAGATGTGATCAACAAAGTATCTGCTTTTGTTGTCTGGATCAATATCTGACAACAGATGCAACATTACAGCAAGTATTTCTTCTGTACCTTAATGTCTTAATGCGTTCAGTCTCTTCTTTACTCAGCTGGTTGAGCTCTTTCAGCCTCTGCATCGTCGTCTTATCCAGCCAGGCGTTCCTGCACCAAGCCAGTAATCATCAAATGAAACAAAACGCAAGATCAATTAAACATTTCACATAAATACCTTATAATCCCCATCTTTAAAATCAGGCTGATGCCAGCCCCTGATTAATTGGAAAGCACAATTATAGTAATTAAGATTTGATTAAACAGAGACATATGTGGAACACTCAATCAATGTGGTGCTTATAACCGCCAAAAACAGGCCAACTATTAATCATTCACAAAGAGAAATGGCCTCAATCCAGCAGCCACCTAGATTAATTTATTGGGAAGAATTAACGTTGAATTAGAACCAGAGTATTGCCTGTGGCTCTCTGCAAGTGGGGTCTGACACATAGGTTAGAAATAACTCACTGACTACAGAAGGACGACTCATTAAGAGTCCATTCATTTTTCTTTTTCCTCTTGTTTGAACAGACAGACTAATATAAGTATGGCTATGTAAAGTATAAAGAAAATATTATCTTATCTGATAAACAGAGGAGATTCAAATCTGGATATACTGTAAGTCATAGGAGATTCACCTTAATGCTTCATTCTGAGCTTGTTTCTTCCTTTCTGAGCTCAACCCCGACTGTGCTACCAAACCACCGGCCACCGTCTGCCTTGGAGGGCTGGGCGACGGCTTCACGGGAGAGAAAAGACATCGAGGCTCTGGTCTTCTCCTTTGAGGGGATCTGTTAAGATAATAGCGGACAGATGAAAGCAAACACTGGCACAGACGTATATACACTGTACTAAGATGGGTCAAAAAAGATGGTGTGGGAATTGAGTAGGAGGAATATGGAGAAAAAGAATCACTGAAAGTTAAAGAGAAGACAATTTACACAAACAACCTGCAACAGATTTATATTGCCCTCCCATACACACATTTTCCATGTCACATTTTTTAAGATACCTACCATTCCTAAGAGAACGGACATGCTATAAACTTGGTAAAAAGGATAGCTGAATTATGAGTGTGCTATGGCTGATGTTATGTTTTTTTGTGCTGTGTTTTAACATTATTATTGTGGGGCTACAAATTTGGCAAAGACTATAATCACACAGTGAATGCAAGCTATTAGTCCAGCCGGTAATTATGCTGTTTTTCCAATGGTGCCTGCTCACGTCCACCATCTGGATGAAAAAAGAACTGCTTATTAGACAGGTCTCTGCTGGCATTGTTTTCCCCTCATATTTTTAAATGTTAATTTCAAGAGCACGTTTATTCATTCGTGCATTAATGATTAATGAGCAGGTGATTCACACTGTATGAAAACTGTTGCCTTGACATTAAAGTGTCCGACTTTACAGTACAAAACAGTGTAACCTTTGTTATGTAATGGCTTCAATCATCCAGTGTGCACTGTGAGTCAAAACACTGGTGAGCAATAATAGGCTTTGATTTTTAAAAATTGAATGTGTCATCGGCTGTACAGACAGATAAAAGGCTTACCGCTGTGGAGGAGGAGAGTGAGGAGATGTAGGTATCCAGGGCACAGAGGGCTCTTTCTGGGTGAGCTGGTTCACTCTGAGCTGAGAGGAGACTGTGGGCTGCTGGAAACCTGCTGGTCTCTGGTTACGCTACAGCAAAAAATATAAAATATATGTTTATATCGTTTAGGTGTTCATCACATTGTTTAAATCTTCGTGACCACTGCCACACCCTTGTACCCCTTTTATATAGTCCGTAGAAAAAAAATGGACGTAGCTACCATGACGTCACCCATTGGTTTGTGGGCTGCTACTTCGGCATTTTGGCTGTCACCATCTTGGTTTTTTGGAGCCAGAAGTGATCATATTTGGATAAGAGGGTGGAGCTGCGGATGAGTGAGGGGTGGATCTGATGTGTAGACTGTAGACGCCTCACAGATAACCTCTCACCCAAGCAGCCCCACCCTTAAATATGTATAATTTTAAACCTTAATAAAATTAAAACGGGTGAGTTAGATAAAAAAATTATCCCTTGTACAGTCGTCATGAGGGGGGAAATTAGCTATAAAGTCCAAAATCATTTTATATACCAAGATGTAAACATGTTAATTTCTGTTGTTATGTTGAACAATTTAACATGGGGAGCAACAGGGACTGACTCGCATCCAAGGACCTGCAGTTTTTGGCACTTCTGCGTTGGCTTCATTTTGTAGCCCCAGATGAATGAAGCATTTTCTGCGTGTTACAACATATGTAATTAAGTATTGTATAAGCACCTTCATTATGATGTTTGCCTTCCTTCTCTCAGGGCGTTGAACTCCTCCTTCTCTGCAGCTGGTGTTTGCCTGAAGTCGTCCCAGCAGCTCTCTTTCCCTCTGGGCGAGGCTCTCCAGGCCAGCCCTGAGCACCTCTTTTCGGTTCATGAGCTGGTGAAAAGTAGTTTTGGGCCTCTGTGAAGCCGTTCTCTTACCTGCTGACACAAATAACATAATGAAACATGTGACTTTTTTATCTTAAATTAATTAATTCTATGTACACAGAAATTAAGGAATAGCTCTGGCTCTTCAGGACTATTTAACATGAGTAAATCAGTGTGAAACCTGGGGGCTAAGGCATGATGCGACACATCACCTCCAATTAGACAATTAGCTAACACTCTTGACAACCACTTGGGTCCCTAAGCTCATTGTAGGTGGTTGTGTCATCTCTTCCACAGGATGCCTCTCAGCCAAATAGGAGCCAGCAGGCGTTAACTGCTCATAAGACTAAGCAGCGGGAGACCGCAGGGCAGAGTTCTGCACTTCAGTTCCTGTTTCCCTATCACTTCTTCATGGCTCCTTATCAATTTTCAGCCTGGTGCAGCCATTTAGGCACAGTGGGAGGCCCTAACACAACTGCACAAAAGCCCTTAGGTGCCTTCCAAATACTCCAGAGACGGTTTGTCCTTTGTCAAAAGGCTTACATACAATTTACTCTCCGTGCAATTTTCAAATGCTTGGGCAGCAGGTAGGCCATTGCCTTTAGCAGGAAAGTATGAAGAAAAATACTGCATTTATATGAGATTCATGAGGTGTGAAACTGTTTTGATGAATATTGTTGCTTATAGTACAAGGAAAACTGAGTATAAAATTACTCATGAAGTTATACATTTACAAATGTCTTACTAAAGAGAAGCAAAGGTGTTTTAATCCAGACAAAAGAAACACTCACCACCACGGGCACCTCTTTTGGGGTTTCCCGGTTTGCAAGGCCCTTGAACATTTGAGGTGCCAGGACCCTTGGGTGCACCAATAGGTGACATGCTGCGATGAGGAGACCTCCTGTGTGGAGGACATGCTGGGGCCTGCATCTTTTTGAGCAGCTCTTGTTTACTGAGGGCAGAATCCAAAGTCTAAACGGAACACAGTGACAACCTTAAAATCTTGAGATTTTTTTACTCACAAAAACAAAAATAAACTAAACAATCCCTCGACTAAACAAGAGGCATATGTAAACACTACATAACATAACAAAGACAATCATTTGGATAAGATTAACTATAAACCAAGAGCCATGTGCAGTCATAAAGTATAAGGATGAAATGACATGAATGACCACGAGCACTGACTCAGCTTTAATTTGTGTGTTTATATCAATAGCAGGTTAATGCTGTAGGAACTGCACACCTTCCTATACATAATCTCATCTTCTGGAGGACAGAGAGTAACTAGAAAGGTTAACTTAGACATAAATAAAGTCATCTTATTTTTAAAAGCTGGTCAACTACAGCCATTAGTCTGTAACCTACAAACAATGGCAGACACTTGAAACTGGGGAACTATAAAAAGAGCCCTACATACGATACTAAATATATTACCGTCTAAACACTTTCTGATTATTACTTTATGCTCCTTACCTCTAGTTTCTGCAGGATGTTGAGAGCCGTCTCAGGCACAGCTGAACCCTGTTCTACTTCAACCTTGGCTGAGCACAAAGAGAGCTGGCGAATCAGCTGGCCCAGCTCTTTGTAATATGGGGGTACCTTGCCATGAGATAGATCTGAAAGCTGGTGGATAACAACCTGTAAGGCCCTCAGAGTTCCACGGTGGGCAGCTGCAAGCCTGTTTATTGCCATGGACTGGAGGAAGAAAAGAAATGAAATCAGTTTACCATCAAATACAACAGATAACTTAATAATTTTGCATAGCTGGCAAAACTTTAAGAAAACTCCATTCAGCATACTAATTGAAAGAATTATTGAATGTGGTGTCATGTGCCAGTAACTGAAAATTACAGTTATAACAAACAGCAATGTCTTGTGTTTAATGCCTGTTATAGAAAACACAGCATAGCACTAAGCAATGTGACAATGCTGCAGACATACCTTTTTGGTGTCCCACATTTTCTGGCTTTTTAGTTTCTCTATATCCTCTTGTATCTCTTTCACCTATTAAATAACAATTTAGGAGAGCAGTGTTCATAGATGAAAAGCAAATTACAAAGTCAGACATGGTTTATATGGTTGAGATTTAATACCTGTTGTTGGAGAACATAGATGACACGTGCTGAGCGGGCTGCCTGCTTCTCTCGGCGCATCTCCAACCTGTTTTGCTCTTCAGGATCCAGTGGCTCCTCTATTTTCTCTCCTGTTGTTCAAATCCCATTCTTTATTATTGTTCATGATTACACATGCAATTTATAACTGTATGAAAAGTGTACTGATTGTGATGTACTGTAAGACATGAGCATAAAGTAACAAGCTGTTTTTGTGGGTTACCTCTGTTGGCTAGCTCTTCTACTTTCTTAATATACACCTCCAGCTCATTTTGCAGCTTGCAGATCTCCTGGCTTAAGGGAGCCTGTTTGCCTCCTTCAGACTGCCTTAGGCCAGGATCTCTGGTCGGGGGTGACTGGCCAATCCGAGGCATGGGAGAAATAGGACGCTTCTGGGGTGTGTGCACCGACCTTTTGGCTCCAGGTCGGGTTGCTTTTACTTTTGGACTGGAGGTCTTTACCTTGGTCTTATCTGGAGAGGCTGCAAGCTCCTATAGAGAGAGAAAAATACTTATTTTACTGAATAAAGCAGAAGTCATTCCTTGACTCAGACATAAACCAGTGAACCATTAGTTATAAAACTTGCACCGTTAATCCGAATCAGGTACCTGAAGCAGCTCTACATCACTTGTTTCCAGGAGGGAGGCCTCTTGAGAGGGTTTGGCAGGGGATTTTGTCAGTGACTCAAGTCGTCTTCGTCTCAGATCTCGCTTGGCCAGCTGAACTGCAGCCCGCAGTCTCTCCTCAGAGAGAGTGGTGAAGCTGATGGAGCTTCTGGTGCTGTCCACTTTCTCATTCTCCTCTGGCAGTGGCAGCAGCCTCTCTATCACAATGGGGGCTGGCGGGCGTACATAAGTGGCACGGTTGCTGGTACTTGCAGGGACGGCTTCATTGAACAATAGCTGTGGTGTGTAAGATATCAATCAGTCTTAAGCAGTCTTTTGTGTTATATAAACAGCCATTGTGGTATCAAAGTCAAATTTTGTTTGTTTTGTCCAATATCTCAATTTACAGATTTCACTTCAATCACTTCATTTGAACCCAGTTGCAAAGTTGTTTGGTACATTTAGTTAAATCCAGTGCAATCTAAAACAACAGCCCCACAACAAATTCTATCTTCATTAAGTGTTTTGTTTAAAATGTTTTTTTTTTTTTTAAAGGTGCTAAATGAACATTATGGACATTTTGGGGGCTGCACTATTCGGTTCTGCTGAACTCCATACTGAGACGTTCAATGTCTCATTCAATAACCCAGCATAGCAGAAATCTTGGTATCATTTTTGATCGAAACCTAATCTTTATCTTTATCAATGGGGCAATCCTGCTTTCATCATATCAGAATCATTTCAAAGATCGGACCATATCTTTCCACCAAAAATCTGGAAACTGTAGACTACAGTAATTCCTTGCTCTCTGACATCAATAGAAAAAAAATCTCTTCTGCTTTCAGTTCATCATTTTGACTTGAGCTAGGAAACATGACCACATTTCACCAAACCTGGCTTCCTTACACTAAATACCTGTTGCTTTTAGAATAGATTTTAAGGTATTATTGAGTACTTCCAAAGCCCAGAGAGACCTGTATCAAATTAGTTATCTGATTTGATAATGCCCTACGTCCCTTCTTGCACCCTGAAATCCTAAAATTCAATTCAATTCAGTTCAATAGAACTGACTTTATCCCAAAGGAAATCCTTGTGCCAAAGAATGCTTCAAATTACAGTAACCACTAAGTACAGTAATCACAATTTAACGATTCACAACCAGGAACAACCAGCCAACCAGTGGGTTCCCAGGTCAGGGTCACTCACTGGGCCCAGTTTTAGAGCAATATAGTATTAAATATGTGGCAAAACATACAAATATACAAGATAAAAGTGTGCTCAAGGAACAAAAGCAAAACCAGTGCCTAACAGAGTAACAATAGGAGTACGAAAAGTACAAGAGTTACTAAAAATGAGCTAAAATGGTGGAAAAAACAGACTAATGTCCATCCGTCCATCCATTTTCATCTGGCCAGTAGGCCAAGCAAAGCGCCCCAAACATCCCTCTCCCCAGCATCACTTTCCAGCTCCTCCTGGGGGACCCCAAAGTGTTCCCAGGCCAGATGAGATACATAATCCCTCCAGCATGTTCTGGGTCTGCCCCGGGGCCTCCTACCAGTGGGATGTGCCCAAAACACCTCCAGCAGGAGGCACCGAGGAGGCATCCTGATCAGATGCCCGAAACACCTCAAATGACCCCTTTTGACCTCTTCAGACTAATGTGTCACTCCTTATTGTTCTCAGGTCCAGACTGATTCACAAAGGTGATAGATCCTTTGCAGTCAGAGCTCCTAGACTTTGAATGATCTACCCGAGGAGATCAAAGCTGCAAACTTTGTCTCATCTTTTAAATCACTTTTTAAAAAAACAACACCTTTGTCGAATAGTTTTTCTGCGATTTTACTTGTTTTATGACATTTGAACTCGTCTTACCCTGTTTTTACTATGTACATCGTGTTTGTCTCTTAAATAATTTAATTATCACAATGTGATCTGTTTTTATTGTGAGGCACTTTGTAAATATGTTTTGAAAGGTACTATATAAAAAAAATATGTTTACTATTTTCGTATTAGTATCTAGTTTATCGTCAGTAATCTAGATGGACAGAAATATTAGAAACACCCCAAACCACAGTCCCCTAAATGACCATAAAATGTTAACTAAAATCAACATCTCTCTAGAACTGTTTCATGAAGGTTATATTAGGGTTTTATTGCAACACTAACGTTAATCTATCAGGCTGAATTGGCTTTAGCTAGCTATACTAAATAAACTGGCAACTGAGTGTACATGCGCACAGGTATCATAAGCTATCTAGCATGTCTGTAGACCCTGTAGCACAGGTGAATATAGCAGGTTTAAGATACTTCTTCCATTGTTGTTTACCTTGGTGTGGGACATCCCTGTAGTTAAATCGCTGTGGACGTTTCGAGTTGAATCTAAAGCAACCCAGTCTTTCCCTTGACTTTGCTGTACCACGGATGTGTGGGCAGACATTAGAGGAACAGCAACCGCCAAATTCAGTCACAATAGCAAACAATTATTGATGCATAGCGCATATAATAACGAGTTAGCATTAGCAAGCTAACTGCGCTTTTGAATTGAAGTTTGCAAACATCAAGTTAATCCCGACATAATCCATTCGACCATAGCCTGCAACGACTTTTTTCTGTTCGTATCGAAATTATTAATTAGTTACGCACGTAGCGTGGCCAAAAGACTGTTAATTAAAGTAAAGCACATGGTTAACGATTTAATTTTTAGTCCAAGCTTGGCAAACATTTGAATCGCCGCCATGACAACAACAGAACGCCGCTAGACGGAAGTAGTTTTCACCAAATACGGATCGTCAAAGAAATCAAACATCAGTACAACCGCGTTTTCTATGTATATGTTAAACATTAACAAAAACCCGTTCTGTATGATGTTATCAAAGTTTGAATTCAATGAATGAATACTGTGTGACAGGGTAATTCATATACAGTGACATTTCTCTGAGAAAGGAGAAGTTAAAAATTCTTAATTAACAGTTTCAGGTACGCGTTCACTTTAAGAACCTTTGCACAGACCGGAAGTGGTAGTGTCACATTTTGAGTATTTCTACCAGGTCCACTGTGCAGAGGATCAGTATTTCTGATATCACTTGTTAGTGCCTTATAGTCAAATAGTTTGAGGTAGTGCATTTTAACACTTGGTCTAAACGATGGCTCATTACGAAGAAGTAAATGTGCGCGGTTATGATGAATTCTGTCAGGCTGTGTCTGAGAGGAAAGGAAAGGATATTTTTGCTTATTTCTCTGGGGATAAAGACGCCTCAGGAAAGAGCTGGTGTCCAGACTGTGTGACAGGTAACATCAGATATTTACAACCATGAATTACCGTGTATAATATAGCCAATAGACTTGATTAAAATGTATGGTCATGTGACCGTATGTTACAAACTTTTCATTGCTCTGGCAGTAAGATGATAGTAGAGAAGTGTTTTGCTTTTCATGGGTCTTTATTTGTTTCATATTTGGTGCATTGTCATTCAGTCATATTAAACAGTTACTCTTCTTCCCTTTTAGCGGAGCCAATTGTCAGAGGACAGATGAGTCATCTTCCTGAGGGCTCTGTTTTCATCTACTGTCAAGTTGGAGAAAGGGCCTAGTCAGTATTTCCCTCTGCTTTATTTTATGGCAAACTGTGCTGTCGCAAAACAAGAGAGCACACCATATTAGGGCTGCAACTAACATTTGAATAATTGATTTATCTGCTGTGCATGTCTTTCAATCATCTGATATGATGATAATGTCAATCACATGTAACTAGAGCTCAACATTTTGTCTTTAAAATTGTTAATTTATAGTTTGACAAAAAGCCACAAACTCAAATTGATTTGATTTAACGTGATTTAGAAACAGTATGAAATGGAAATGCAAGTAATTTATTATATTTGTGCCAATATACATTTACAAGTATGTGTACTTGATGGATTATTATACATATTATGTGAAATCAATACATTTTCTGTTGTTAATACATTTAAAGTTGTAAATACATTTATATTTAAACTTAATATATTTAAATAGTTTCAGAATTACAATATAAAGTTGGATCTCATTTTGCATTTACATTTTAGGCAAACAACAAACCATAGAGCCAGTTAGAGTGAGCACAGCTTTAAATACTACATAGCAGCCACAAAGTCTTGACTAAGATAAATAATCAGCACACACACACACACACACATTCGATAGTTGTACTTTTTAATATATATTTTTATACTTGCTTATATTTTGTACTTATATTGGTTAACTTTTATTGTTGACTATTTATTATCTCTAACATTTGTGCCTTATTCTATATGTAAAGCTGTGTGAAGTTTTTTTCTTTCTTGCACCATTTGAGGATGATACAGCTGCACTTTCATTATGCTTTCATAATGACAATAAGTTCTTGAATCTTAAAATACTTAGTAAAAGCCAAAGGAATGGTTGCCAAGAGAAAGAACATATAGCTGTTAATAGTAAAGACAGAAGTATTTCTTTTACAGTAACTTCATTATCTTTTCAAAGACTTTAATGTTGTAATATTTACAGCCATTATCTGTATCCCACGTTGACCATCTACATGCAAACAATGGATTTGATAAGGCCATAATGCTACTCAACATATATGATGGATCACTGTCTGTAAAAGACAAAGGAGGGTTTTTGCACAATTTAAATGCCATGCTGTGTTATTTCATGTACCTATTAATTAACTCCATCCAAAAATGTTTTCGCTAATGCAGTTTGGTGTCAGAAAACTGAAGGCTGCTCTTTCAAATGCTGTAATGATATCCGCTGCCTAATAATTTCTTTTTCATGCTTCAGTTGGAAGGATTCAAGTAATGCGTTCAAGAAGACGCTGAAGTTGAGTGGAGTCCCCACTCTGCTGCGATACGGCACAGTAAGAATAATTTGCTCGACTATTTGTTGACAGGGATTAGACTAAGATCAGTTTTACAATAAATGCTTTACAGATAAATTCATAGAATAATAACAGATAAAATCCAGTTTACATATCAAGTGTTGCATAATTGTCAAATATCAATGTAATGAAACGTATTAATGTAGTGGTCTAGTCCAGAACAATTGCCTATAATACATAAATGTTAAAAGCCACCTTCTGTTATTGTGTTTCAGCCTCAGAAGTTGGTGGAGGAGGAATGCTTCAAAGCCGATCTGGTGAGGATGATGTTCACCGAGGACTGAGGCATCCTGATCTCTTCACATCAGTCATTTCATCATTTCTTCGCTGTTTAACAGTAAAGTTTACCACCATTCAATTCCAGCATCATTGTCAAACCATGCACTACGTACATCTCCTTCTGTCATGTGATGCAAATCAACAACACTGTAACTTTACAACCAAAATAACGAGCATCCTGTGTAAGACACAGCTATTCACTTAATTCCGACGGGAATATCTTGCAAAGACAAACATGTGGAACGGACGTAATTCCTACTAATGTTTCTTGTTCTGCTTTATGTGCAATCACTCAGTCCCGATTTGTAATTTGATCTCGATGCATTTCTTCAAATGTAATGTTAATCTAACACACTGTTGATTTGAAAAATATCTTTATTGTGACCATTTTATTATGTGATTTTTTTGTTGCCTTGCAGTAGGACTCAAATGAAGTAGGACTTGATGTTGCAAATCGGTAGCAAAAGAAAACGTTTTTGTAAAGTGTTGTATTATGACTGATAAAGCTGAAATGTTGAAGTCCCACAAGGTTTTTATTGTATAATTTCTGGTCTTGGGGGCGGACATTAAGACATTTTTTAAATTCATATTACAAGTGTTTGTTTGTTTTTTGCCATTTTAAGACCATTTTCCAGTACCATGGAAGTAGGTAGGAAGTAGTCAGGTAATTTAGAACATCAAGTAAATTGGGACATCTTATCATCTTCAAATATTGGCTGACAGCCACCAAACATGCTATTACATTGTTAATACAAATGTAATTTACATAAAACAATCATATTAATGGGTCTGAGATAACTAATATGAGCTGAGCAAAGATTGCTCAGAATTTGCAAGGTACGGCGTGGCATGCTGATTTTCTCTCCTAGGTAATAAGAGTGCTGCAGCTATCACGTAAGGGTATAACAACAAAAATGGTTATAGGATGTTTTATTTTATTTACTGTTCTGACTTCAAGTACACATTCAAGTAAATTGCATCTTTTTTTCTGAAGTGAAACCAGCATGTTTTAAGGCTTCCAGGAGCCAAAAAAAATCACAAGTTAAGATATTGTGGGTCACCCTGTCATATTACAGACATTTGTAGCATTTTTGTCGCTTAAAATGTATTACAAAAAGATGCAGTGAGTCCATGTCAGCCAAAAGTAATCTAGAATAGCCATCATTGTTACACGCACACATCCATTTCAGATAATATAGCAACAAGGAAACAGGCAATGAAAGAATAGGGAAAGCATGGCAGAGAAGTTGGAGGATGTTTTGTAATGAATAGTTGGGTTACATTATGGTTTCATGAATTAATGACTGAACTGATATAAAATATTTAACATTTAAAAAAAAAACAACAAATATGACTATCCAATTTTACTTTCCCAGCTGTCCCATTTTACCCGGACATGTCATCAAGAGTCAGATAATCGGGGTACTTGATGTGTTTGAGCGTCTAAAGTTTCTCAAATATTTTACTTTGCTATCAATTTTCTGTGTAGAAATATAGAAGAGATACAAAACATGTTATAAAAGTAATATATAAGGTAGTCTTCAGAATTGTAGGTGGTTTTCTTGGTAATCTACCAAAAAGTGTGTGAAATTACCGGACCTCACCAGAACTTCACCCTGCGTCCGTGGTGTAGTGGTGGTTGATGAGGTGGATGTACTACTAGGTATATGGGTAGGTTACTGAGGAGTAAGTCCTATACACCGATCAGCCAAAACATTAAACCAGTGGTGGGTGAAGTGAGTAGCATTGATCATTTTGTAACAATGCAATGTTCTGCTGGGAGATCTTTGGTCATGGCCTTCATGTGGATGCCACTTGACGCCCTCCACCTACCCAAACACCACTGTGAACTAAGTAACCCCCCCCCAGCAGAAAAATGAGCCATGCCACACCACGGAAACTGCTCAGGAATGGCCTGAGGAACATTCCAAAAACTCAAGGTGTCGACCTGGCCTCCAAATCTCCCACACACCAATCTGACTGAACATCTTGTGACGTGCTGGTACTCAACCTCACAACTGACAGGTCTCAAATGATCCGAAGCCAGCACACCCTTCACATGTCCTGTGTCCATTCCTTGACATGTCAGAGACATATACACCCCAGGGAGGCCCCACCATGGATTGGGGGTACCTCTGGGGTACCAGCACATCCCATGGGTGCTCAATCAGATTTGTATCTGGGGAAATTGGAGGCCAGATCGATGCCCTTAGCTTTTTGTCACATTCCTTAGGACATTCCTGAGTAGTTTCTGAAGTGTGGCATGGGGCATTTTCCTGCTGCCATTAGGAGCGAAACTTGATCTGCAGAGGTGTTTGGCTGAGTGGAGGGCGTCAAGTAGCATCCACATGAATGCCGTGACCAAAAGTCTCCCGGCAGAACGTTGCTTTGTAACAAAATGATCAGTGTTACTCACTTCACCCACCACTGGTTTAATGTTTTGGCTGATCGGTGAATATTTCAATGGCTTTTTGGCTGATAGGTTGGTACACTGTAAATGGTCAAAGAAAAGAGGTGAGTATACCCCGTGTATTTACATATACCTTCCACTACACTACTGCCCTACATGAAGTTGTGCAGGAGGTTTCTCCTACTTTACCATTTGTTGCAGCCGAGGTAGTTTCCTGTTGTGAACACTGAGTGGCAGCATAATCATAGGAATAGATCTGGTTTGACCCCAGACTTATCTTTTTGGAATTTGCGAATTTTAATATTAATGTGCCAGATAAAGCCTGTTAGATAAGCAAATCCCAAACATTTAATGAAATACAATGTCATTTTGAGTTGAAACCAAAATCCAGCTGCTTTTATTTCGAAATTTAAACAAGTTTGAGGATATAAAAAGTGTAAAGTCAGACATTACGATAATTAAACTGAATTTTCTATTCCTAACACATTAAAACCCCCCACAGAATATAGTGACAGAGAGTCATCTTTGTAAGTATAATAACCAGATGTCATGATGAAAGTGTGCTTTGGGGGAAAAGAGCGCAACCGCTGTTGCAGTCAGGGCGATTTAAGCGGAGCGCATTCCTGCACAGCGCTCACACCGGAGGACGAGTCGCGGTGAAACACAGACCGCAACGCCTCACAGGGGCTGGGAGCTCACCTAAAAACCTCACGTCTGAGGTGGAGGAAGTGCTGGGTGTCGCCTGAACATAGCGGTTACATGAGCAGCAGCCTCGGCTGAGGGAAACGTTGTGTGTTCGAGGACTGTACGCCGCGATGTCGGAGTTTCTGGTGAGTCTACTCGGGGAGCGGCTCGTCAACAGCGAGAAAGCCGAGGTGGACGTGCAGTCGCTGGGCGCCAAGCTTTCCTTGGTCGGGCTCTTCTTCGGATGCAGCCTGAACGCGCCGTGCAAGCAGTTCAACGGCAGCCTGTGCGAGTTTTACAGCAGGTTCAAAAAGGCGTCTGAACACAAGGACAAATTGGAAATCGTCTTCATCTCGTCTGATCAGGACCAGAAACACTGGCAAGACTTTTTGCAGGAGATGCCATGGCCTGCGTTACCTTTCAAAGACAGACACAAAAAGGTAAGATGGGCTGTGGTGATACAGAGGAACACCGACAAATCAGTGCTGACTCTCTGAGGAGCTTTTACTGTGTTTAGTGGGCTGGAAATGACTGAAAACCACCCTGTAGGCCATGTCTGCTTCTTCTGTCAGTGTACAGGTGTATATGCTTTAATTTGGGTCATTAAATTGATTTCATTAACCTCCTTTTAATCAGATTCCCTTAAAGCTGACTTTAATCAGCTGGACTTGTGTCATCTTAAATTAATCTCTCTAAGTCAAATAAATCTAATTATTGATAAGACACACATTATGCAGAAAGTCAAATTTAATAAATCCAAGTGTTGTAAAAAAGCCAAATCCAATAGAGTAAAAAGGATCTGTTTACAGAGACAAACATATAAGAAATTTACTTTTTAAAATCTTTTTCCACCCTATGATAACAACACATGCAGCTGGCAAAGGCACAATTTGTCCTCAAGTTATTCAGACTTAATTTTATCAAAATAATCTAAGTGTGGCAGAGCAGACATTCCTAACTTATTACCAGCAGAGGAAACAGAAAGAAATACTTACTTTCCTTTTGTCTCCACTGACTAACATTTCTGCTCAGGGAATAGTTATTGGCACATAATACAGCCAGAGAGCACACCTCATATTATCCATGTTGCTGCATGTGTCATCTGCCCAGTGAAGGCCTTCTAGTTTGCCATTATCTCATCTATAGCTTTCCTAATGGTGTCAACAGTGCAGAGCTTGGAGGATTTTTAGTTCAGTACTTCGATTTATCTCACTTATTAAGCACCATTATGTTTATCTTTTTTTTTTTTTTTGTAAATCATAAGGCAGCTTGGATTTTTTTTTTCTGTGATGCTTATTTAAAAAGAAGTGTAAATTTTCATTGGAAATAGGCAAAGAAAATATTTTTTAAATTTTATTTTAGGGTGTTAGTATATTAAATTGCATCATTTATCTCCTTATCAATTTGAGTGCAATCTAATATTTGATAATGTAGGAGTTTTAATAGGAATATTTACGACAGATGTTTCTTTGTTCATAGTTTAAACTGCCACAGAAAAAATATGAAGAAACGAGAAGTCACCCACAAACATTTTGTGGATTAAATTACGATTCTTTATGCTAAATAAAAAATGCATATTGCAGAGGTTTCCTTTACTGTTAGTAAGTGATATCGCAGCTGCATAAACACACAGTCTTTTCAAATGATAGAAAGGATGTAACATATGTTGTGTGTGCTGCAGGATGTCAGAGGGCCATCAAAGTGTCCTGATTGTAGCACAGGGTCTCTCTAAATCTAAATCAAAATGCAGATGTGACAAACAAAGATACTGTGCTCACTTGCATCGTATCAGTCATGCATGTCAGTGACTGAGTGAGGTAAAGTCGATGACTGTGAATTTAAAATACTCACAAAATGCTAAGGAGGATTCTGACCCCATTTTTTTTAGATAAGGCCTGATAACGCTTTTTAAGAGGAAGTAATATAAAAAAAGAAAAGAATAGCCTATAAGGCAAATGAAAATATTGTAACCTTGTTTACATCACACAATATGTGTGTAAACTCATACTGGCCAAAATGTTTAGTATCCTACAGACTGTATTTTGCCAGACAGGATGCATTTTTCCAGTCTCGCCACGTTCAACCCTCGCTGCTCTTTGTGTAGGTGAGGCATGACTTGGACTGCATCATTGTCTTGTAAATTCTTTCAGATTGCCAATGATGATTTCCGTTACACCTCATAATGAAATCCAGGCGTGAATAAGGCACGGAGATGACAGGGGGAGTGGGGGGTTGTCTTGTTGTCGTCTGGGGCGGAGCACATCCATCGCCACGGTGCAGCGTTATTGTGTTTCTGTCTGCTTGTGGAAAATATCTGTGGCATCAACATAACCATTGTTCATGCTCTGGTCGGTGGTCTGTTGGCTGTCTTGGCCTTGTGAGAATAGAGGCAGCGCAGTTGTGCATCTGTTTTGCAGAGGCCTGCAGTTTTGGT